AGATTTCACCATGGAGTTGATTACCAGTCTCATCATGGGGAATACTACATCCAGCTGCCCAGCCACTCAACCAGGCCCAGCCAAGTTGACACACAAACTGAACTACCACAGCAACCAAGTGCTTAACCATTGTACCACCAGGGCTCCATCCAATGAGTATTAGGCTAATTTACTGAATAATTTAGTCTCTGTAACACTCTATGATATGTTTGTTGTTGTTATGTGCCGTCGCGTCAGACCTGACTCATAGCAACGCCTCCTTGGGTTTCCGAGGCAGTATCACTACAGAAGTAGAATGCCCAACCTTTCTTCTGAGGAGTGGCTGGTGGGTTTGAACTGCCAGCCTTCTGGTTAGCAGTCAAGTGCCTTAGGCACTATGCTACCAGAGCTACTGATATTCTATGACATAGGCACTGTTATTATCATCCCCATTTTATACAGGAAGAAACTGAGACAGAGTTTAAATAATCTGTCCAAGGTCAAAGAGCTAGTAACTCCACACAGCTGGACTCCAGCCCAGAGTGCATGCTCAGGACACTTCTCTAGGCTATGTTTTTTGTACGAATGTCTGAATACCAAAAACTCTTTAAATTCAGATTACACCTAAAGGATTCACTTTTCAATTGATAGGCTTTTAAGGACAAAGTACAAATAACATCAGCATTAAGAGTCTACAACCTCTGGACAGAAGGCATTCAAACTTTCTGGCAAGTCCTACACAATTGCTTAGTCTTCCACATCTTTGGCAGTTTCCAGATACCAAGACCATTAAACTTCAATAACAAAAACATGCTGCTGTTATTGTTGTATGCTATCGAGTCAATCCTGACTCATACAGAGCATGTATGACAGAGCTGTAATGCCCCACAGGGCTTTCTTAGGCTGTAATCTTTACTGGAGCAGACTGCCAGGTTTTTTTTCCTGCGAGGTGGCTGGTAGTTCAAACTGTCAAACTTTTAGTCAGCAGTGCAACGTTTAACCAATAAACCACCAGATATTATAGTTTCAACCTGTTTACAACTCAGTGTATTACTTTTTGTACACAAAGATAGGAAGTCAAAGAATGGGGTCTGGAGTTCAGATGGATCTGGCTTAAGATCTCAGTTACTCTACTTACTGAATAATGTAATTTTAGGGAAATTCTTTTTCTTTTTTTTTTCACAGATTCTTCATTTTATTTTATTTTATTTTTATTTATTGTGATTTGGGTGAAGATTTACAGAGCAAATTCACTTTCCATACAGCAGTTCACATATACTTTGTCTCATGTCATTGAGCACAATTTACCACAATGCAACAGCTCCCCTCCCACTTCCTCCCCATAGTTACCTCTTCCCAGTGACCAACCCTCCATACTCCCCTGCGCCCTGAGCTGTCTCCCTGTGCATAAGCAGCCCTTCCATCTCCCATGATTGTTCTCTCCAGGGCGTGTGTCTACTTGAGGTAAATGTTTAACTCACATGCCTGTACTTTGTTTGGCTGGAAACCACAGGTGTGGGTTCAATTCCAGACCTGAAGGGCAGCTAGGGGCCATAATATCAGTGGTTCCACCAGGCTCTATTGGACCAGCAAACCTGGTCCTCACCCTTTTTTTTTTTTTTTTTTCAATTTTAGGGAAATTCTAACTAACCTTCCAGCCTTGGTTTTCTCATATGCAAAACTGGGTAACACCTACAGTTTCACAATGTCTATACAGGACATGGTACCTTAATATGTTTTAATACTTTGTGGTAGTTAAGTTTGTGTGTCAACTTGGCTGGACCTGGTTGAGTGGCTGGGCAGCTGGATGTAGGATGTAGTATTCCCTATGATGAGACTGGTAATCAGCTCTATGGTGGAATCTACTGCGAGCAGCTGAGTAGCTGCCTTAGGGCTGTGGTCTGCTTCCCGTATATAAGGAGAAGCTGTGGGGAACAGTCTCTAACTTATGGCACGCTTGAACCCTGCATGTAGCCAAGTCATTCATTGTTCAGCAGCCTGCCATGCTCTGCTGATTTTGGGACTTTCAACAGACTTGAATTAATGGCCTGTCACGTGGTTTGCTAATATTGGGACTGTGCCTTGTAACTTGTTGACCTTGGATTTGTCAGCCTCAGCAGCCAGCAGCTGAGTGAAGAAAAACTTCCAGCTTCAGTGAGCTGGGAGAAGGACGCAGAGCTGAAGGCCAAGGTTGAAGAGCTTTCACCCAGCCCCTAGAGCCTGTCACTTTGAACTTGGACTTACAGCCTCCAAATTTTAACAATAAACTCCTGTTTGTTAAACCATCCCATTTGTGGTATATTCCTGGCAGAGTGGCAATAGGTAACCAGAATATCCCTCCACTATTTCTGCTCATTTTGGCAATGCCATCACCTTTTTCTTACTCAGTCTCAAAAGTCTCATTTTCTTTGATTGCTCCTCGCTCCTCTCCTCTCCACCTCTCCAACAAGTCACCAAGACTAGTTCTTAGTCCCTCAATGTCTCAACTCTGTCACTTTTTACAAATGCATATCACATAATATCTTATTTGCCCAATCTACAATAAAGGGCTTTCATTCCTTGTTCTAACCCCATTCTATCCTTACTGCTCACTATATTCTTCAAACTCTACATGCCAGGGAAATATAACTACACAACTTCCCAAACATATTTTATGCTTTCTAGTTTTCATGTCTTTGCACATGACATTCTTTTCTCCTAAAAGATATATTCCTTGTACTCTTGTTTATCTGTCCAACCTCTACGTACTCTGTATAATTTATAGGTATGCATTGCTTAATGTCCATGATACATTCTGTGAAATAGGACATTATGTGATTTGGACGTTGTACAAGTATCATATTAAAACTTCATGGAAACTCACTTCCAGTTGGTCCTTGTTGCCACTATGATGGAACTGCTGGCAGTCTGGAGGACTGAGAGGGCAGCAGTGGGAATAGAGCAAGAGGAAGCAAGTGAAGAAGGAGCAGAGTATGCCCAGACCTGCCTGGTGTTCTGCCTACCTGAGCAGCAGAAGCAGCCTAGGCCCATCAGTCCCTGCCACTGGACAAAGCTCATGTGCAGAGCTATGTCCTCTGCCTCATCTACCTGTATCCCACTTGTGGTCTTGTGGTCCAAGAGTCTGGGTTTGGGGTCTTTAAAGCATCAGCAGGAGATTATTAACAAAAGAAGGCTGTTTTTCCTTTTAAAAAAAAAAAAAAATCAAAGACTTTATGTGACCAGAGGTACATGCACTTGGATATTAAGTGACACATACTTGCATTTTATCTTTGCTGTTATTGTTGAGAATATGCACAGGGCAACCAATTCAACAATTTCCATATGCACAATTTAGTGACACTGATGACATTCTTTGAGTTGTGCAACCACTCTCACCCTCCTTTACACCAACAGGTCTTAACCTGAGATAGACCTCTGGGCATGGGTGTCTACTGATGATCTTCTGGGGTTTTGGAACTCTTTCATGCTATAAGCAAAATTATATGAGTAAATTCACACAAAATCAGGAATACAATCTATAAGTATACATGAGAAAACCAAGAAGGATGAATGACTCCAAATACTTCCTTCAAAGCTGAGATAAAGTATTCACTATTCATAGAAACCTATAAAAATACCTCTGGCTAGAAAGCATTCCTTCCTGTTAACTCCCAAGCACTGAAAGTATCAATATCTTAGCATCTAACCCATTTTTGTTGTTGTTAATCAGCAACTGACAAGTCTGCTTCTGACTCATAGTGACCCACATACAAGAAAACAAAATGCTGTCTAGTCTGCTCTATCTTCATAATGGGATGCAGACTGCACTACTGTGATAGGGTTTTCATCGGCCAAGTTTTCAAAAGAAGATTACCAGATTTTTCTTCCTAGTCCATCTTAGTTTGGAAGCTCTCTTGAAACCTACTGTTCAGCATTATAGCAACATGCAAGCCAACACAGACAGCTGAGTGGTGGCTGCACATGAGGTACACTGGCTGGGTCTCCCACACAGAAGGCAAGAATTTGATCACTCAATCCCCAGTGCCCCCTAACCCATTTTACTTTATAGTTACTTGCTTATAAGCTTTCTATCACAATTAGAGGGTACAAATAATGATGAAGTCTATTTCTTTGTGACTTACCACATTAACAGACCACTGCCATGTACACAATAGACAGCTAAATGAAAAAAAAATGGAATAGCCTGTTGTTACCACTTACTCCTAAGATTTGAAGGCTGACCTCATGATGGCTAAGGTCACAAACCATCTGTAAAACTGTGAGTTCAGTAATTACATTATTCCTGGACTTGCTATACTACTCCAAAGCCTTTTGTCCTCTGGCATTCCCAGAGATCCACAACTATAAAAATAGCATTAAAGAAAAAATGCTGCATTTATACATTTTCCCAAATCATGATGTCATAGAGAAGCACTGCGAGCTAGAATACTTTAATTATATACTTTTCCCCAATTATTTTTATAACCTCAAGCTAATCAGTGCCTAAGATACTTAGTTTTCTCAAATACAGTTAGTTGCTAGATGATTTCTAAGATCCTACATACATCTATAAACTGACTAGTTCATAATAAATGGCATTAAAACCATGTCTGAAAGCTCTCAGATACTTTCAAACATCAAGCAATTTTTTTAATTACCATTTTGAAAGTTACATCCATTAAATATTTATATTTACACCATGGTTGATATCTGTCTACTTACTGTCGCTTAGATCTGTATTCTCTAATCTTGTCCAGGAAAAGTTTCTGTATAGGATCAAGTTCCTTATTAAATGCCACTGCTGTAACACCAAAGTTCCTCCGCAAATGGACTGACAGTGCTGACCGAATGACAGAGGAAAACCTGAAGAGCCTCTGGAGAATCATGGTGAATCTGTTACTGAAAACAAGCACCAGAGTATTAATATACTTTAAAATATCCATGTACATATAACTATAAAAACACTTACAAATATATTGTATAGTGGGAATTTGCTGCAGAACCAAATCATACCAGAACTCAGTCTAGAGACAGTGGAACACAGGAAACAGTTACTGACCATAGTTACCTTTTCCCATGGCTGTTTAATTTTTTTTGCTTCTTAACCAAAAGGCTATGGGGACCTAGGAACAGGGGAACAACTCAGGCATGTGGTTCCACTAGAGTAAAGATAGAAAGAAAGCACTAGATCTGGTATGGTGTGTTTCTTCTCCAATGAACTTAGTCTTAGACCAGGGGCAAAAGAAGACTACTCACCATCAACAGGAAAAGAACAACAACGGCCCCAAAACAATGACCCATTTATCTGACTCCCTCAAAAGGCCAAAAGGGAGCTGAACAGGGACTGAATACAGTTACCTCATCTTCTGCTGTTTGTGCATTTTTATTTATGTTTGATAGTCTGTTGATGCCATATATTAGGGCCCCTAAGTTTGCCCCTGTTTTTTCTTTGATGAACTTTATACCTTTTGGTTTTACATTTAAGTCTTTGATCTATCTGGAGTCAATTTTTGTGTATGATGTGAGGTATGGATCTTACTTCATTTTCATGCAAATTGATACCCAGTTTTGCCAGCACCATTTGTTAAAGAGACTATCTCATCCCCATTTAGTGGATTTTGGCCCTTTGTCAAATATCAGCTGACCATAGATGGATGGATCTATTTCTGCATTCTCAATTCTGTTCCATTTGTCTGTGTGTCTTTCATTGCACCAATACCAGACTTTTTTTTTTTTTTTTTTAAACTGTGATTTGGGTGAAAGTTTACAGAGCAAATTCATTTTCCATATAGCAGTTCACATATACTTTGTCTCATGACATTGACTACAATTTACCACAATGC